GGGGGGGGAACACAGATGGGGCAGCCCCAGAAATGGGGTACGGGGGGGGGCAGGCTGGTGGGGTCACCCCATAAAACACTCAGGGGCTCCCCAGTGCAAGGAGGAGCAGGGATTTCACTGGAGCATCTTGAAGCCAGAGTGAGGTGAAAAGGGGCAATTAACAGAGGGGTTTAATCACCCCCATTACCCAGCGACACCCGGTGTCAAGGGGAAGAGAAACTCATTCCTGGCTCCACGGAAAAGTAAAAAGGGAAGGTTTGGAGCATGAAAACATCGGGGTTTTTTAAAGCTTTCCCAGGCAATTCCCTTCCTGCCGGGTCGGAGCAGCCCCGGGAGGGGGGATTTTAAAGCAGCTGGAGGGTCCTGGCCGGAGGAACTGGGACTCGCGGCAGGTTTTACTGGGATCCTTTATATAACTGGGAATTTTTGGGGCTAATTTTGGACTACCAGCTTCCTGTGAGCCGTGGGGGATCCCCATCCTCCCCTCCGTGCCGGGGGAACTGCAATTAGCTTCTTGCTGCTAACGAGCTTCACTAATTTCCACCCTGTTTGGCTGCTGTGACCCCAGCTGGAATTTTGGGGAGGGAGGAGGATGGTGCAGCCCCACACGTCTGGGCCAAGGGCTGGCTCAAAGTCCCACCAGCCCCTCCAAGTTCATTATCCAGGCAAATAATTAACCGGGCTGGGCTGGGGTGAGGCTGGGCCCTGGGGACCTTCGGACCCCAGCGTGGCCTGTCCCCAGGGATCCACGCCTGGGGGGGTCCCCGTCCTCCTGCTGCACCCCAAACCTGCAGCGGGAGCCGGGGTGGGGAGGTCCCCATCCCACCCCAGGCCACCTGGAGTGTGGTACCCGTGTCCCTGGGTGTGTGAGGGTCCCCGGAGATGGCAGAGGGACAGAGGGACATCCCCGTGTCCCTGGGTGTGTGAGGGCCCCAGAGATGGCAGAGGGACAGAGGGACAGAGGGACATCCCCGTGTCCCTGGGTGTGTGAGGGTCCCCGGAGATGGAGAGGGACAGAGGGACATCCCCATGTCCCATCACCTACCTCCCGGCAGCGCTGCTCCCCCGTCGCAGGAGCCCAGCCTGGCCAGCCTCAGCTGCAGGGGAGACAAGTGGGCACTTGTGTATTAACCCCCCCACGCACTTGTGCATCCCCCTGGCACTTGTGAATCCCCCTGGCACTTGTGCATCCCCTCATGGCAGTCATGCAACCCCTCCAGCATTCATACATCCACCCGCCCCGGCACTCGTGCATCCCCCCAGCACTTGTACACTCTCCCTGGCACTCGTGCATCCCCCTGGCACTCGTGCAACCCCTCCAGCATTCATACATCCCCACCCCTGGCACTCATGCATCCCCCAAAGGACAGAGGGACATCCCCGTGTCCCTGGGTGTGTGGGGGTCCTGGCAGATGGCAGGGGGACAGAGGGACATCCCCGTGTCCCTGGGGGTGTGAGGGTCCCCGGAGATGGCAGAGGGACAGAGGGACATCCCCGTGTCCCATCACCTACCTCCCGGCAGCGCTGCTCCCCCGTCGCAGGAGCCCAGCCTGGCCAGCCTCAGCTGCAGAGGAGACAAGTGGGCACTTGTGTATTCATCCCCGTGTCCCTGGGTGTGTGAGGGTCCCCGGAGATGGAGAGGGACAGAGGGACATCCCCATGTCCCATCACCTACCTCCCGGCAGCGCTGCTCCCCCGTCGCAGGAGCCCAGCCTGGCCAGCCTCAGCTGCAGGGGAGACAAGTGGGCACTTGTGTATTAACCCCCCCACGCACTTGTGCATCCCCCTGGCACTTGTGAATCCCCCTGGCACTTGTGCATCCCCTCATGGCAGTCATGCAACCCCTCCAGCATTCATACATCCACCCGCCCCGGCACTCGTGCATCCCCCCAGCACTTGTACACTCTCCCTGGCACTCGTGCATCCCCCTGGCACTCGTGCAACCCCTCCAGCATTCATACATCCCCACCCCTGGCACTCATGCATCCCCCAAAGCACTTGTGCACTCTCCCTGGCACTTGTGAATCCCCCTGGGGTGGGGGTGTCAGAGTGGGAACACGGGGGGGGCGGCGACTGCCGCACTTGTGAATCCCCCTGGCACTTGTGCATTCCCCTTGGCAGTCGTGCATCCCCTCCAGTATTCATACATCCCCCCCACCCAGCACTTGTGCACTCTCCCTGGCACTCGTGCATCCCCCTGGCACTTGTGCATCCCCTCATGGCAGTTGTGCAACCCCTCCAGCATTCATACACCCCCCCACCCGGCACTCGTGCATCCCCCTGGCACTTGTGCACTCTCCCTGGCACTTGTGAATCCCCCTGGGGTGGGGGTGTCAGAGTGGGAACACGGGGGGGGCGGCGACTGCCCTCTGCCGGCACCGACCGGCACTGACTGGTCGCGACTGGTCCCTGCTGGCCCCAAATGGTCCCAACTGGTCCCAACTGGCCCCACAGCTGGGGGGGGGGACGACACTCCAGTCCCCTCCGCTCAACCCCTGCAAGCCCTCGGCTGGGGACCCCCCTGGGGTCGCACACCATGGCCAGGGCCACCCGCTGTCCCCGTTCCCATCCCAGTTCCCCCCGCTCTGCCCCAGCTGGGACACTTCTTTTGGGGCCGATTGAGCCAATTTGGGGTGAATTTGGGGCGAGGAGAGGGATGTTCCCTCTGCTGACGCTGGAGGGCTGTCACAGCACACGGGGTGCGTGGGGACAGGGGGCGGGAGGGGACAGGCCACCCATCCCACCACCTCGCCCTCCAGCCAGGCCCAGGAGCCACGGAGATGCCACCAGCAGTGGGGACCCTGGGGACTGACCCCTCGGACGAGCCCAGGGCTTGGTTTCATCTTTTTAGAAGACCTTCCTTCGTGTTATTTGATTTGTGTATCTTAAGCTTCTAGTCAATCACAGCAGAAAGCTTTATCCTCTGAGTGACAGGAAAAGAAAAAACACATATGAGCTGGACAGAGATGTCAGATAGGCCACCTCTGAAATTGGTCCACTTCAGTAAAGCACCGTATAGATCTGCTGTGTGCTGCGCTACGGCTACGGAAAAACATCTGTTTTTTGGCAAAGCTGGATATAATATGATTGCTCGCTCTATGACAGCTTCTCTTTCTTTAGTCTCCTGAGTTCAATACAGTGTCCATCAAGTGTGCGTAAGGTTTTTTGTTAGATGTTGAGCTGCTTTTAAAGTGAAGATTATTGGATGTTAATGGCACTGTTTTACTCTCTCACTGGAAGTTAGTTTTAAGATGCTAAAATGGAGTATTCGCTATCTCTGGTACTTGTTTAGAGTTTTCCTTTGGGGTTAAAAAACAAGCTTTGTAAGAAGAAAGTGTGTTTCATATAGTGAATCAAATCCGTCTCTAAGGAATGTTAATGAGTCTAATTACTAAAAATTATGTGATGCTTGATTGTTTTACTAATTTGGGAGGAGTTGGTGTTTTATCTTTACTGCAGGAAGCAGTTTTGATGACATTTAAGAAAACCTTTTCTTCAGGGAAGGAATGAATCCAATTTGCGTTTATTCTTTCATTTGCTTTTGGTTCTGGGCAAATATTTTCAGATTATTGTGAAACAATTAAGGTAGGATTCTGTTTTGGTTATCACAGAATATTAATTCCCTAAGATATTATTGTACACAAGCGAAGATTAGATAGGTTTGGGTAAAGGGCAGATGTCTTAGTGATGTCTGGCATTTTTTTTTTACAATATACCCTAGAACCTTTGTTCTGATCTTTTCAAATCACATGGAGAAAATATTGAATCTAGGTTAGAGACGGGCAAATAGTTATGACCTTCATTTGAGGCATTAAACCTCTGTTTTGGAACAAAGATTTTGTTAGGCTGAAGTGCTGTGGTTTGAATTTAGAATGACGGTAGCACTGGAGAATAAACTAAAGCAAGTACATTAATTCCCTCTACTTTTCACTTAACTCATATAATAGACACCCAAAATGGTGATTCACAAACTTTTTGGAGGAAATGGCTTCTTTCAGGGCCTCAGCGTTCGAGGAAAAACATCATTGTTCTTCATTGACGAATGTTTTAGAGCTGAGACGTGACAGTTTTACTGGTCACTGTGACATGGACTTCCCCTGCTGGCACGGACGGTGACCTCCCCTCCCCATCCATGGCATTTCTCCGGAGCCCACAATATCCCTGGCAAACCCTTGGGAAGAAGCCAGCCCCCCCCCCCCCCCATTTTTGCCCCCCCCCACGCGAAGGACCCTGTGGAAGAAGGAGAGGGGGAGAGAGGAGAGGCGCGGGGG